AAGAGAGAGAGAGAGAGAGAGACAGACAGACAGACAGACAGACAGACAGACAGACAGACAGACAGAGACTGTGTGGTGGACACGGATATTGTTGTGACTGTGTCAGTAATGACAGTGACGTCGGGAGGATTGTATAAAGGGTAGGGCTTGCCATGCCCAAACATTCAGATCACTCCGATTATAAAGAATGCATGATGACTGAAAAGACAGTGAAGCATGCATATAAAGAGACAACATGAAAATACAAATAAATCCAAAAGTACAACAATCTTGTTAGTGGCAATACCACGTTTGAAAACAGGAAAATGGACTCACCTATGCATTTTTATAATGTACATGTATGTGACCTTCGGTTTTATGTTGAGCAAATTTGTTGAACAGTGCATCCTTCTTGATGAACCATTCGTGATTAAAATAACTCCTTTGCTTTCCATCCACAACAAGATGCGAAAAGTCTGCTGTTTGATGAGGTCCCAGTCTCTTGACAGTGAGCTTTACTTCAAGTAATAAAAAACAAAAGCGAATTTCCAATACGTTTTCTGCATAGTACGTTGCTACTTTGAAGAACAAACTTTAGACTTCAATACAAAACTGCCTCCACTCACTGATACAATACGCATGAGCTTGCTTCATTCCGCGTCAGATCGGTCCATGATCGCCCACGCCTGTCGGCAAGGCACCGGATGATGATGAGTATCACTGCATTTCGCGAAAAAGACTTACGCCTTTGCGTATCTGAAGTTAGTGTGTGTTTAGGGGGAAAATCACCCCCCCCCCCCCCCACACACACACACACACACACACACACACACACACACACACACACACACACACACACACACACACCTCCCACCCCAATGAAAATTCAATAAGCAGCAACCTCTGCCTATTGCTACCCCAGAATTACAAAGTTCTATCTGCTCAGTACCTAGTTTTCACAAATTTGGCCTAAAAGATTCTGAGTGTCACATCAAGTCAAGTTTTTCGAATGCTATTCTTTGAATATCTTGCTTACGACGATTTTAATCTAGCAGACAGAACATTTGGTTTCTGACTCAAAAACGGCAAAAAATGTTAGATAGAACATTGTAATTTTGAGGTAGCGTATTGGCAAACCTCTTGGGAAACAGGCCTTGGTTGCTCTTAGGCATGTACATTTCTGCGAACTAGATTTTCAAAGTACAGTCGAACCCATGCAAGGCGGAATCCCATGAATTTAGTTGGAGATGGAGGAGGTTTCAGAGGCCCAGCTTGTCCGGTCGGTAAGTAATGGTCTTTGAGTCAGAAACCAAATGTTCTGTCTGCATAATTGTCAAGCGCTATCTTGTCCGATAATGGCATGCCTCAGTCCTGCTTATCCATTGCCACAAGTGCTTGATTAAGAACTGAAACATTTGAACATCGTTGCTTCTCCCGTTACACAAAGTGTCCATTGGGAGATCGGTTCTCTAACACAAACCGATCGCTCGACCCGCGGTCTTGAAAACAAACGCTTTGTTTTCGAAAGTCGCCGACGGCTTCATTCGGTTTGTGCCACGTTTGTGGTCGCTTTTAGCCCTCAATCCTGCCAGCCCGCCTGCCAAACCGCAATGAAGCGAACCGAGCCCCACCCAATACCAATCGCTACCACCAGTGGCGGTGGGTAGTGAAGGGCTTACGGGCTTGAGCCCCTCACACCCACCCCCTCCACACTCCAACTATATCCCTTAGTTCATGAAAGTTTCTTAAATAACGAAATAGGCAGTTGAAACCGCCATGATCGCACGCAATGAACACAGTTATCAGCTTGGCGGCTTGTTTAGAATTACAAAGTTCTATCTGACATTTTTGGCCGTTTTGAGTTAGTAAGGCCATGAGGTCAGAAACCGAATGTTCGATCTGCTCTAGTCACATGAGTGTCTCTCTCTCTCTCTCTCTCTCTCTCTCTCTCTCTCTCTCTCTCTCTCTCT